ATATATATACACACACTATGTACACTGTATATATATTGTTTTTTTTAACTTGTGCACATTTTTTTATTTTATGGTAATTCGTTTGCACTGCAGTTATTAAATTAAAATTATTCAGCATAAATATGAAAAAGTTTCAAAGTAATTCCTATGTCTAGCTGCAGTTTCCCCTCTGTGAAAACCCACAAAGGTAAAGACCTGAAAAGATGTTTCTGTTGTGTAGAAAACTTTCATGGCCATCACTAAAAACAGAACATATTACATATTACACACACACACACACCTTATTAGGCAGCCCTTGCAGGGTTTTAATTGAAGACCACTACCCTTTAAACACGTAGAACATCATTTATGCAGAAGAAGAAGAACATTACTGTGGATGTAACAGTCGGGCTGAAGAGCCCAGTGAGAGGACTTGAGAACTCAATGGGAGCGACTCGGTTGTATTCCTCTCTGGCTCTTGAGAATCCATTTTTTAATTGACCCGGAGAGAGCACGGCACCACAGTAGAGTGTATAACACCTTATTCCACAGTAACACAAATGTGGAATGAAGGGAGGAAAAAAAAGAACATTGCATTACCTTTATTTGTGAGCTCCAGGAGTGTTTTCAGATGTGTTTTTGTGTATTTAGGTGAGCGGAGAAACAGATGTGAGAGATAGCAGGATAGAGAGAGGATGAATGATTTCAGGCAACCAGTCTGAGTGAGAAATGGACCAGAAGCTAATTAATGGCGTCCTGCCCATCAGCTCCCCCATGTCCATTAATAGAGAACATTAACCTGAGGTACAAAGTGCTTCTCAAGCCTGCTGCACTTTCTCGTAAGCATAACTCATAGAAAGAACCCTCCAACGCAGCGGCCAGACTGAGCTAAAAGCATGTGCGTTTTCTGATCAGTGGGACAAATACAGCCAGTCCTGTTGACCGCTCGCTCCATGTGTTGGTGGATTTAGCAATTTAGCATCCAAACTCCATGTGAATTAGTTGAGTGCTTTGTTCAGGATGCCATAATGATCGCAATAAAGCTCAAAAAGTAATGAATGTTGACTACTTTTAGGCAAAGGTGCGCGTTCTATTTTTAGCCCTGAACACGCTCTTCTGCCGGTCACTGCACCACAAGATGAGGTAAACATTTCAAATGACGTCTTATTGTTCCGCGCAGGGCTTTGCTGATGAGAACAGAGACCAGCGAACACGGTGGACTCACTTGACGGCTGCACTTAGCAGGAAGTTGAGCTGCGGCATCACAAACGTGTCCGGTGATGACAAGTACCGGTCAAACTGGACCTAATGTTTCACAGACAGACAAAAGCTTGTGATTATTGACCATTATTATTATTGTGAATGTTGACGAGACACCTGCAGATAAATCTGCTTTCCTGGTTCGTGTCGGGAACTCACCATTGCTGCTTTCACAGAAGAATTGTCCATACTGGGGAGGAGGGACAAAGGGCCCTGGAGGAAAAAACAAAACAAGTTCATCTTACAGTTCATGTTAAGGACAAGGTGATTCCAAAGAAACAAGCTGAATCTCAAATAGAGATAACAAACAAAAAATAAAATTAAATTAAATAAAAAAATAAAAAAAACAGGTGGCTGAGATTGTCTGATCAACTGATTAACATCTGGAGACAAACCAATTCAAGATGGCCGCCACATCCAACTGACGTTAGAATCACAATAATGGCCCTAATCCAGACAGTTTTACAGATATTACGCTAAAGTTTAGTGGTAGTGGCTGAACGTTATTCTCAACACATGCTGTGCAATAATCTGCTGCAATCACTAGCAACAACCATGTCTGTTAGCGAAATATCACATAAACCATTGGATGACTTTTGATCAAACTCTCAAAAGAGTCATCTTTGGATGTGCATTGACATCAGATTAAAATGTGGAGTCACCCCCAAATCAAGACAGCCATCACAGCTAATCACCGTTAAAAACAAGTCAGTTTAACAGAAATTGAGCTACATTTGGTGTGGTAGTGGCTGAGAGTCATCCTGACACCATTCGTTGAGTGCTAACGCATCTCACACAATATCATATTAAACTGTGCTTTACGTTTTTGTACATTTCGACTAAATTGGGTATAACTTTAGATTTAACTTAAATTCAAGTTTAAATCTCTAGCAGTGAGCAATTTACATTCTCATTTACCAAAAGGAGCCAAAATTTAAAAACTTTGTCCGAGCCACGGAGCACTTTCAGCTGATACCTTAACTTCAGTCAGATACCTGATATGTTTTCGTGGTTGCAGGTTCATGAACAAGAGTTTGATCCGTCTCATTTGACGTTCTGTTGCTCATCAGAATCAGTAACGATAGAATGATCCAGCCGTCTTTCTGGCTTCAAAGTTAGCCAGCTGGCAAGAGACATCAACACTAAATGTTGTATTTATCAGTTTTTTTAAAAGACAAAATGAGGAGATACAATATTTTACATTTAAATTACGATCTTGGGGGACCAGATTTGGTCCGCGGCTCTTGAGTTTGGCATATGTGCGCGGCTTAAAGGAATGCTAGGCCTTTAACTTGTCAGTAAGTGAAAATGTCTTTTCAAAATGTGAACTTGACAATAGTAAATAAGTGTGTGACACTGTGTAAACAACATGAGGTACTTTTAAGGTAATTAACAATCACTCACCTTCCAAAATGGTTACATTAGGTCAAGCTGAAATGCTTAAATTGCCAGCATTAAAACTAGCAAATAAAAGAAAGTACAAGGTTCAAAGCGGTGGAGCAGCACCTAAAGAGGCTTTTTAGGGTTATAGGCACTATAACAAACACACCGAGCCATAAACTCATCTGCTGACTATAAGATCCAATAAAAAGCACACCCCCGTTTTGTTTACAACTCGTTCACTTTACGTATCATGGATTCATCCAACATACATAGTGACAATAAACCTTTAAATTAGAACAGAAACGTTGGGATTCATGTCACTTGCAGACATCTGGGATTTAGTCAGCTGTCGAGGCTAGGCATTCATATACACAACCTTTAAAAAGAAACAAAAAAAAAAATCTAACTCATACCACCCATGTAGAGACGTCTGCAAAAGAGTTTGTCACTGAGCGTAGCACTGAGCTGCAGCAGCAGGAACAGGGTGTGGTGTGTCCTTACACGACCCAAAGTCAAGATTTGCTGGCTTAACCACAACTATGAGTTTCCGCCAGCTTGGAGACAAAGTGTGTAAAATTTAAAAAAAAGCTCTGGGACACATTGACTCTCTTATCTACACAAGACGCCTCTGGTGAAGCCAATATATTTTAATAGAACATGACACAATCTGTCTTTCCCTCTCCTTTTCTCATCTGTAAATCTGATAAAAATGCTATTATGTTCCAACAAAGACGCAGGTGATGTGGTAACCATGGCAATAGTAAAGCCTATAAACACTTCCAAAGAACTGTGAGATACTGTAAACAATACGCCAGGGTTTGTATAATTTATAAAAAGGTCCATTAGAGGGTCTGAAATGGAAATATTTGAGCTGGAAAGTGGACACATATGCGAGACCTGTTCTGTGCTGTGCTGCTGCACACAGTTGTAGATATAACTCAGTCCAGCTCTGGTCAGCACGTAGGACGCCTGCTCGTTGATCAGCGTATCCAGATGAGCCTCGATCTGAAAAATACAGGAGAGGGGAATTGATTGATTCCATGCATTGTGAACCAGTGGCCCTTACGCTTAATGGAGAATTACAGGACTACTGATAATGAAACTTCCAGAAGGGCTCTTGTGGTGCTCTATTAACAAAAGATGTGCCAAAAATAAAAGGGATGGTTGGCGTAGTCGAGCACCAACAACAATACATGACGCACACCCTTTCATGAGACGGTAAATTAAATCTTTTTAGTAAAAGATTTCAGCTGTGGATTCTAATGAAAGAGACAAGAATGATTAACTTTTCTTTAATGAACAATAGACGTAGAGACGTGACTGCAAGCTGAGCCATCAGAGGAGAACAGGGTTCATCTAGTCCCGTTTCACTACGACGAGATGGATCATTCATTTCAACATTATATTAACCACCTGGAGCAGAAAGACTCCTACGTCCGTATGCTCTTTGTGGACTTCCCGTCTGCCTTCATCACTATGATCCGCCACCTTTGTTTCCATTGTATTAAAGAGACAAATTGAAGAAAATTATTTAATAAGGTTATGTGGGGTTCCCTGAAACTTTTCCTCCCGTGAGGGGTCCCTGAACCCAAAAAGTTTGAGAACCCCTGAACCAACTATTGTACAGCAGCAAAGACCTTGAATAACCTTTGATCTGGATTTGTGACCACAGAGCTGGGGAGATCAAAACATTAAGTGGCTCGCTGGTACAAATGTGATGATGCAGATGATATGTTTACAATGGAACCTAGAAAACATATCAAATGTTGAAGCTAAGAAAAAAAAAAAAAAACATTTGACACAAAATAGTGCCATTTTGAATTTGATGATGGCAACACATCCCAAAACAGAGCTGACGCGGAGCCATGCTTGCTACTGTCATGAATCCTTTTTTATTTTAACAACAGTCTGTAAACAGCTCGAAACTGAGACCATCGGTTTCTGGAGGACATTGTTGGCCTATTCTGGTCTGATGTACGATTCTAACTGTTCAACAGTCCTGGGTCTTTTTTGCCAGACTTTTCATCTCATGATTCACCAAATGTTTTCGACTGGTGAGAAATCTGGACTGCAGGCAGGACCGTTCAGCATCTGGACTCGTCTACTGTGAAGCCGTGCTGTTGTAATGATGCAGTCAGTGGTTTACAACGGTCTTACTGGAAAATGCAAAGTCTTCTCTGAAAAGGATGTTGTCTTGATGGTACCTTTCCAGATGTGCAAGCTGCTCAAGTCACAGACACTAATGCAACCCCATACCATCAGCGAGGCAGGCTTTTAAACTGTGCACTGATAGAGGTCAGATGGTCCCTCTTCTTTATAGTATGAAAAGTGGCATCCATGTGTTTAAAAATGTTAAATTTTGATTTGTCTGACCAGAAAAAAGGCCTTAACAGGTTGAGAGCCTTGCTCAAGGACCCAAAGCAGGGGTCATACGTGGGTGGAGTCAGGTGTGGGTGCGTGGTCGTCCCACTCAAATTTTTGTTGTCGGTCTGGGCATTTGAACCTTGACCTCCCGATCACAGACTCGACTTCTATAACCTCTGCACCACCGCTCCCCCATGGTACATTTTCTTTGTTTACACATTTGATATCTTTACTATGTTCTAATGTGAATAACATATAAACAAAAGATTGCATAATTTTGTTTACATTTTACACAACGTCCCAACTTCTTCAGAACTGCAGTACGTGTATTAAATGGCAAAGCAAACCTGGAACTCCAACATCTCAAGCCTCTTGTCGGTGAACTCAAAGAGAGCCAGAGTGGTTTTCATGACATACAGCGAGTTGACCATGTAGGTAGCCATGTCCGCTGTGCCGAGGTTACTGGCTGACACAGTACACAACTGTAGGAGGGGATCCAGGATACAAGAGAGAACCTAGGAGATACAGAATGGTATAGGATGGAGCAACATCTAGAACAAACACTTCAGTCTTCCTTTTCAAGCATCAAAAATGCAGAAAGCTCACAAAACAACAAAAGAACGGTTACCATTTCTACACTGCTAACAACACGGAGAGGCATAAAAGGAGGAACACGCCATTTATGATTGATTAAAACAACAAAAAAATAATTGACAGAAATTTTTTCTACAACTTGTGTTCAGAGCTGCTCTGATCGGGTCAAACTGTGGGTCTGGTTCACTTTTCTGGTTGAAAGCAGCATCAGTTCAATTTCTGCATCTTTAGATTGGAAGGCTTAAACAAGACCACAACAAAACACTTTTTCTTCCCCCTCCTCATTTTTACAGATGATGGAAATCTGTCACGAGGACGGAGAAATTTAACATTGATCTGGTTGTTCAAAAACCTTTTTAAAAAGTCTGCCAGAATCTTAATGGGAGTTGGTAGGAGACATCATATTTCTCCAGTTTTAGCTTCTCTCCATTGGCTCCCTGTCAAATTCAGACTAGAATTCAAAATCTTGCTTCTAACCTACAAAGCTCTCAACAACCTAGCTCCATCCTACAGATCTTATTGTTCCGTATTTTATATTTTCCCAACAGAAGTAAGTAACCTTTATTTATATAGCACTTTTCATAGATGAAACCACAAAGTGCTTTACAGAGGCTTAAAATAAAACAAAACAATAAGAACAGCTGATAAAAACAGAAAGTAAAACATTTAACTAAAAGCTTGTCTGAATAAAAATGTCTTAAGATACTTTTTTAAAGGAATCAGCAGAGACGCAACAGGAAAAGACAGGGCAGGACATTCCACAGTCTGGGGGTTACAGCCTAAAAGGATAGGTCACCCCGAGTTTTAAACCAGGTCTTTAGGAAGTTCAACACCGAAGACCGAAAGGTGCGGGCTGAAGAACACTTCAGAACAGAACCCTTTGCTCTCAGACTCCAGGCTTACTTGTGGTTCCTAGAGTTTCCAAAAGCAGAATGGGAGGAAGATCTTCCAGTTATCAGGCTCCTCTCTTGTGGAACCAACTTCCAGTTTCTGTCCATGAGGCTGACACATTGTCCAGTTTTAAGACTTTCCTTTTTGATAAATCCTATAGTTAGTTGGAATGGTTTCCTGACCTATTCCTTATCCTATGCTGCTATAACCTTAGACTACTGGAGAACAAATTGACTTGATTTCATCAAAAGAACAGTTATAAATTCATACAAATGAATAGTTTGTATTTGTAATTATTCTTTCTTAACTTGTGATTTCTGTCTTTTTGTCTTTCCTCCTAGAGAAAACCTGACGGCCTCCATCCTGGACCTGTCATTGTGCACGTTTGCTCCTTCCTGTCCTCTCAAACCCAACTGTTCGAAGCAGATGGCCGTTTGTCCTGAGCATGGTTCTGCTGGAGGTTTCTTCCTCATGAGGGAGTTTTTCCTTCCCACTGTTGCCTCTGTGCTTGTTTGAGACTGCGATGAAGTGAAAACTCAAAGCAGTCTGCTCCTCAGATAAATAACGTTATTAACTGATTTTATATGTATGTGAATGTTTCTGTTCAGTGCCCTGGGATGACTTCTGTTTTGATTTGGCGCTATATAAACAAACTGAATTCAATTAATGCATGCATTTATTCTTTGGATGTAAAATGCTCACTTTGAGGCCATTAAAACACCTTTTTATTTTGTGCGATTCAACATAAATGAAAAAAACACAGCATTTTTTGCCAATTGATCAGTGACAATGCAGCACATTGAAATTTTAATAAGTTCAGATTCGAACGCTGGCAAAGGCAGGTTAGTTTGTCTACTTTTCTAAGCCTACTCCTGTTGCAGAAATGCATTTTTACCTGAGCAAAATCAGCCTGGCGAGCATCAAGAGGAACCACAGAGGAGTCATGGGAGGCCAGCACCTCCCTGAGGAGGGAGAGCGTCTGATTGAGGGATGTTGTTGGTCCAAGGTCTGGAGGAGGCAGCTCCACCTGCTCAGACACACAGAACCAGCAGTTGAAGCAGAGGACAGGACACAAACAAGGAGGAAAAAAAATCTTTACACATTTACTTGAATGTAGGCTCTAAAGTCACAATTAAACTAACTCCTTATAACAGAATTAAAGCAAGAAACAAGCCCAAAGAGCAGCATTTTACACAAGTATACATCTGAGCATCAGGTTGAAGAGCTTTTCTAATGAAGAGGGTTGTGATTTCATCGAACTCTGCGCACAGTGCAGAACTGAGCAAGGCCACCTTAGTGCACCTAATAGCGCGAATTATGAAAAGGCTGTGTTCCTGGCATTAGCTGGAATTGACACCAAAACCCTGAGGGCATCCAATTTGATTAACAGCAAGCTGCAGAGATAATTCTTGTAACTGCTATCGATCAGCACACAGTCACCGCGTAATCTGGAAGAGCTCGTGCCCGTGCTAAGGTATATTTGGATGCCAATTTAACTAAACAGCAACAAGTAAAGAGTTTCTTGGCAGCTAGCACCGTTTAGCTGCTGTGGCCAGGAGGCTGTAACTGTTTACAAGCACAAGTGTTTCAGAAATAGCCTTGTTGACTTTGAAGGTTTCAGACAAAGAGCTGAAATACACAGAGTGTGTCCACAGGGAGCCACACTAATCTTCACTACACGACCGATTTATGCTTTTTATGAAAAAATAAAAATAAAAAATCGGTGCAAACTGTCTCTGCTTGAACAACAAAGCTGCTTCTTTTATCTCTTTTTGGAGTTAAAGGTGTTTACATAGCAGTCGCTTTCTAATGTCTACATAAGTTGACATAAATCAAACTAGAGGAATTGCATTTCCTGCAAAAATGCAGCGTGAATGCTTATTGCTGAGGAACAGCTGAAATTATAAAAAAAACATGCTGAAATGGAAGAACAAGCCTAACTTGGAAGAAGAAAACAGAAAGAACACATATTTGCTGAATTAGGTTTAAATAAGAAGAAATGAGCACAAAAAATATGAAATTAGCTAAAAAAAATAAATGAAATTAGCAATAAATAACTGAAAAGAAGCTGAAAAGGCAGGAAAAAGCTTAATCAGAGTCAGAGTTTCTTTATTGTCATTCGCACCTCATGTGGTACATGTGGTGGAGCGAAATTATGTACACAAGGTCCCAGTTACATCCAACAATAAAATGCATAAGAAAAACAGTAACAACATCTAAGATATGAACTAAGAAAAACATCAACTAAATATACACTAAGCACTCGTAACATAAAATAGCTGAAATAGCAGAAAAAGCTGAAAGGAGCATAACAAGCAGAAATTACCATAAAGAGGTTAATTAGGCTGAAAGTAGCAGAAATTATTACAAAAAACTTGAATTTATCTGAAAGCAGCTATAATTAGCTAAAAAAAAAAATCTAAAAAGTTAGATTAAGCTTAAATGATCAGAAGAAAGCAGAAAGAACATGTTTGCGCAGTTAGGTTGAAAGAAGCAGAAATGAGCACAAAAATGGAAATTATTTGAAAAAAGCTGAAATTAGCAAAAAAACATCAGAAAAGTAGCTAAAAGGCAGAAAGAAGCTGAAATTACAAGAATGAAGTGGAGAGCACATTTTTTTCTGAATTAGGCTGAAAAAAGTTTAAATGAGTACAAAAAATGTGGAATTAGCTGGAAAAGCTAAAAGTAGCATAAAAACAGCTAAATAGTAGATGAAATAGCAGAAATTATCTGAAACTTGTAGAAATTAGCTGAAAGGAGCATAACAAGCTGAAATCAGCAGACAGAAATTAGAAGAAGCACAAAAATGTTATAGTTGACAGAAATAAATTAAAAGGAGCACAAAACAGCTGAAATTATCTGAAAGTAGCTGAAAAAAAGTTTAAATTTGCACAAGGAAGCTGAAAGAAGCTGAACCAGAACAAAATGTGAAAGGAGCAGTAAAAGGTTGTAAACAGATCTAAAGATTTGAAGGAGGTAAAATGAGCTCAATTCATTTTCTATGTGGAAAAAAGTGGCAGAAAAGGCTAAATATTTCAAAAGGCTAAAGTTTCACAAACACCAAAAGTCGGCATCCTTCTCCTGAAAGTAAACGTTTTGATACTTTGTTGTTTTCAACCAGTTTGACAAGACTGTCAACAAGGAAGAGGGCCGGCAATGGAGGAGGGGCGTACCAAAGAGACCATCTTAGCACAAGCAGAACTGGTTTGTTCCACTTTGGAGTAAGCTGTTGGAGGAATAATCAGTTTTGTTGTGTGTTTCCTTGACTGATGAAGCCTTCCGGATCAAAGGCGAAACGTTTCAGCACAAAAAAAAAAAGAAACTGTCCAGATGACCTGACTGAAAAATGTTGGATTTTATACCTGGATTATTGAGCATGGACTTTGTTGTTTTGATACCTAAATCGCTGAAATAGCTTAAAAACTGCGGGACGAGAATCGCAACAAAAAGCGTACGGAATAGGGATCGAAGTCGGAATAATAAATATAAACAGGAAAACAATTGTGTGAACACTTAAAAGCATTCACACAATAAAAATACTTGTCCGTCACCTTATCCATGAGTCTGCTCGCGTGGAGACTCAGGCTGTTGAAGAACATCTTTTTACTCAGGAGGTGCATTTCCTCTATAGTGATGAGCAAAGAGGCAACACTGGTTCCAATGATGGAGCTGAAGGAAGATTATTAGAAAACTATTAGACAGAATTCACACAGCAACTTATTTGTTTGAAATATTATTACAACTCACCCCCCAAAAAATCATCATGTGCATTAAGATATTTAGGTTACATCATTGGATAATTTGTGTTATTCAGAGAGTATAGCAAAACACAAACGTGACAACTTATTTTAAATAAAAAAAACAGAAGGTAGTCTATAAAAATATTTGTTTTGGCCTTTAGTTTGGTTAATTTCTTGAAAAACTGCCACATTAGATAGAAGTCTTGCTGCTGTGTCTGTTCCTAAAGCACACGTTGAACTACCTGATAGTGTGGTGGTAGAACTTTAGCAGGTTTGACAGCTTGTAAAGCAGAACTGCGCCCGGTTCGGCCACGATGACTTGTTCTATCCGCACCTGAGGAGCGGATCGATAGCGAAGAGGTGAGTCAGGGAGTAAAACTTGGGAGGAACACAGTAAACGAGTCAGTCATTTAAAAGTGAATTGGTTGCCCACTTTCAGCGGCCTGCAGACTCCCTCTGTGATGTGTCCCACCACTTCTTGCATGTTCTCCTCCACACCTAAAACAGAACGAAGGTCACACACTATTTTAATCAGAGCCATATAAGGACAGACCCATTAACTGTTATAAAACTATTAAATATAAAAATGCAGAACTGATGGGGGGGGGGGGGGGGGGGGCTGTGAGAAATTATTTGTGCATAAATTAAGGTAAAATTAATTCTCAGGCAATTAGAAATAGTGTTATTATTTAAACTTTTTATAAAATAATCAAACTATCCCTGCTTAGAAATGCAGATTCCTTCCACGTTTCCTGTTTTTTACTTGATGCTCTGTGCAACGTGTCGTACTTTGTAGAATGACTTGTTTCAGCAGAGCTTCTAGATGCTCTTTCTCTGAGGCGGTCGCTTGGTGCAGCCAGGCCAGCATGTCGCCAACATACCTGAGAGAAGAAGAAAAAACAATCTAATCAAACCAACTTTGACCAAAGTGGTGTGTGAGCAACCCATAAAACCAACAAAGGAAATATATAAACATTTAAAGTCAAGTAAACTGAAATGTCACATAAAAAGCAAAACATGTCAACTGCAAAGTAAGGTTTGTTGTTACATGATGGAAATAATCACAACCATCACAAGTCAGGCAGTAACTTTGCTCTTGGGCTCCCCCTACAGGTGTGGTATGTAACACCGGAGCTGTTAAACATCATCCATATCAATTCGTCATGTGAAAAAGGCTGCGCTAAAAGCCTTTGAAAAGATTAAACTGTGTGCCGTTCGTTATAAGTCCTAACAAGAACAAATCTGCTTTTTTCCTATTCCATGCTGTAGATGACACACAAATACACACAAATAAAAATATAAACAAAACAATCAAGTGTTCTTGTTTTCTTTATAATACAAGTTGTTTATTTTTCACAATTGTGTACGCCATTTCATTTGCATAGTTTACAATGTAACAGTCCCTCGGTTATCGCGGGGGATCCGTACCTTGAAGCCCCGCGACAAGTGAATAACCGCAAAGTAGGAATAGCAGTACAAGTAGTAAGGTTTTTATTTAAGTATTTATATACACACATATATATATATATATATAGGTGTTTTCAACCCTTCCCACACTCTTGCAATATTCTAAACAATGTTTCTAAACTCTAAACGCTGTAAAAGAGCACAGAATCTCATGATTTCAGCTCTTGGCCACGCCCACTTCTCTAATGCAGAGCTGATCAGCTGCAGGAGGAAGCTTCTCCTGCAGCTTGGGCTGCACACAGGTGCTAAATAATTTAAAATAATTTATTTTAAATAAAAATTCCATGCCGATCGTGCGGCCCATCCATCAATCTGCCAATTTTGTGTCAATATTATTTTTGAAAAACCACGATAGAGCGAGTTTACGGAAAACGAACCGCGAAGTAGCGAGGGACTACTGTACACGTGTTTCAAGCCTGAAGAAAGGCTTTTAAAAGTTTCCAAATAATTTTACCTGAGAACTATTTAACATTCAAGTTTGACTGTGAGGCTTCATTAGTGAAGCAGTGGCAATGACAAAAATACTTTAGTTTTAGTCTCTAATCATGTAACAGGGACGTAGATGCTTCCTTGTGTTTTCATTGGCCATGACAAACTAAATTAAAGTTAACGCCTGGAGTTTGTAAAGTTGCAACGACGCATTTGAATAAAAACGCTTCACCGCATCCGTCGTCTTTGCTCAACACAGTAAAAAACTATTTAATTTCTTCAGATGTCCTTTCTTTAAACACATTTAAACTTCAGCTGTGGTTCATCAGTGACTGTGCACCTCAGGACAGTTTTAAACTTGGGAATAAGAATAACGACCGTCAGCAAAATGGGCGCATGTTTTCAAGGCTGACCCTCCAGAGCAGATTTATGTTTGGTAAAGTGTATCTCTGTGAGTGTGAGGACACAGGTGGGTGAGAAAGAATTTGGTGTTCTCAGAACCGTAAAGGTGATTTGGTGTTCCACACAGAGCTGGTATTCTGAGAAAAAAATCACCTGTTTTGGCTCCTGGGCACAGAAAGAAGAGGATAAGGTGTGAGAGGAAACAAGCAGACTCAGTAACTTTGTAACCTCAACGCTGACCAGTTTGGACTTTAATCTGATTAACTTGTACTTTAGTAACCATAGCAACTATTTTTACATGCAGTGGAAACAATTTGGCATGCAAACGATCTGCCTAATTGTGTGAATAATTATGAAGCATTCGCACTATTGTGATTCATTTTTCTTCCGTACATTTTTTGCGGTGATTCTCATCCCGCAGTTTTCAAGTTATTTCAACAAATCATAAATCAAAACGTTCAGCTCTTTCAGGACAACCCTGTTGTGACTTTTGTATTGGTGCAGCTTTAGCTTTTTGAAATATTTAGCCTTTTCTGCTTTTTTTTTTCTCTCATAGAAAATGAATTGAGCTCATTTTACAGCCTTCAAATCTTTAGATGTGTTTACAACCTTTTACTGCTCCTTTCACATTTTGGTCTGGTTCAGCTTCTTTCAGCTTCCTTGTGCAAAATAAAAAAATAAAAAATAAATCAGCTCATTTCAGCTGTTAAGCTGTTTTGTGCTCCTTTCAGATTCTTTCTGCCAACTACATTTTTGTGTTTCTTACTCATTTCTCTCATTTCAGTTTCAGATTATTTCTGCAAGTTTCAGCTTTTTCTACCATTTCAGCTACTATTTAGCTGTTGTTATGCTAATTCTAGCATTTCCAGCTAATTCCACATTTTTTGCATTCATTTAAACTTTTTTTTTAGACTAATTCAACAAAAATGTGCTCTCTCCACTTCATTCTATTAAATTTAAAACTTCTTTCTGCATTTTTAGCTACCGGTACTTTTCAGTTGTTGCTTTTTTGTTAATTTCAGCTTTTTTTTCCAGAAAATTTCCCCTTTTTTGTGCTCACATCTGATTCCTTCAGTCTAACTGGGCAAACTTGTTTTCTTTCTGCGTTCTTCTACTAACTTAAGCTTATTCTACCTTTTCAGCTACCTTTTAGGTCCTTTGTTTAGCTAATTTCAGCTGTTTTCAGATAAATTCAAGTTTTTTGTGGTAATTTCCAATTCTTTCAGCCTAATTAACTTATTTCTACTAATTTCAGCTTGTTATGCTAGTTTCAGCTTATTTCTGCTAGTTTCAGTTATTTCAGCTACTATTTAGCAGTTTCATGCTAATTTTAGCTCTTTCAGCTAATTCCACATTTGTTTTGTCCATTTCAGCTCTTTCTGTTTGTAGTTTATGGTTCTTTCTGACTTTTCAGCTATTTTCTTTTGCTAATTTCAGCTATTTTAAGCTAATTTCAGCTGTTTTTCCAGCAAGTTCCTCTGCAATGAGCATTCACACTTCATTTGTGCAGGAAATTAAATTTCTCTAGTTAAAACAATAATTCTGTTTGTTGATAAAGGCTAATTTCCAGCAATATCTTAATCGAACCCAAAGATTTACTTTCAGTGTTTCAGAATATTTTGACTTTATGTTAAATAGATCTGTTTTAGATTACTGGCAGATTAGTTAAATAGAAAAGTAGCAGTGTAAAATGAGATTTTAACATCATGTCAGTTTGACATTACATGAAGACACAAATCATAGTTAAAACGTAAATTCACAGATAATATGCATAATTAAATGTCATTTTGAAGGTTCCTGTTTATGCTAATAGGACACAAGTCATTGTAAAGCACTCGGTCACTTTAACTGGTAAAATATATTACTATTTATTTATGACATTACTTTTTGAATCATATAGTTTGTCCCTTCAAACCACAAGCAAAACACACAATATGCATGAATGTAATTTAGTTTTAACCCTTTAAACTTTATTTTCTATAATGGTTGCATTTTTATTAACACTTTGATTAGGTTTAGACATCAAATTGGTTTAGTTTATATATAGAAACTTAACTTGGTTTGAGTTAATATGAAGCCTTTCTGCTGAAAAGCCTCTCTGCCTGAAGGCTTACTTCTCCTGACTGCGTTTGTTGTCCCAAAATCCTCCAGAAGTGACCATTTGTGGGCGTTTTTTTATTTGTCTTCCAGGGGAAACGTTTAAACAGGACTGTAAATGTACCTTAGAGGGTCATGTGAATGCATCTCTATGGGCCGTGGAGTACCTCCTGGCCCGCCACGGGTCAGGGCGTCGATGAAGCCTCGAACCACAGCACATCTGCGTGCGGTCCCAAACTCGTCCAGAGTGTACCTGAACAAACAGGCGAGAGAAGCTCGTGTGAAAAGACAGGAGCCACGCAGTTGTTGTGAAGACTCTGTGGTCCGCTTTCTAAAATCAACAGTGAAGGCAGCGTTTCCGTTAAGAGTTTGGATGACTTGGCAGGGAGAGCCTCCGGGACAGACTAAACAAAAGATAGTGTGCTGAAGAGCACCGCTGTCCAGCCTCAACAAACCCAGCCCGAGCGTGACCTTGGACAGCGTGTGCACGGAGGCAGGTGCACTAAACAGACCGAGGAAGTGTCGGCCATGAACACACATGAAAACACATCAGAGCGTGAGGTTTGCTGCTTTTAAGGTAAAATTAGAGTCAAGGCAAGCTTCAGGGAGTCCTTCAGAATTACTTGTTCTAAAATAAGAACATGCTACTTCCTACTGGCCGTTTACCGTTTTTTTTTTTTTTTTAATTATCTTTATTTTTTTTTTTTTGTATTTATCTTCTGTTTTAGTAACGCAAATTTCCAGGCAGTTAATTCTCAATGTAAGCTAATTGAAATTTCAAGATTCAATGCAGACGTGTATCTATAATCCAAATAGAGTTTGGAGTTCAACAAAGAGAGTGGCACACGTTGAGAAACAGATTGTGTACCTACAGACTGCTCGTAAACATTTTAAAGTGTTCTTAAAGTATTCATGCAAAATATACGTTTTGTCTTGGTCCTATTTTTCTTTCAGCAGTGACAAATCAAAGACGTCAAAAAGGTTTTCTAGACCCCGAAACAAAATGATAACATTCACCTTTTAAAACCATTTTAGATGTTTTATTTTAAATCATACTTGGACATTTAGCCCTTTAGTTGAATGGTGAAGTTAGATATAAAATTTTTAAGTTGGCTTCCACTTTAGCAACATGTGAGGAGAAATTTCTGCATGAGGCATGATAAAAATAAATATCTTACATGTACTAAAACTAATTATTTAAATCATACTTTCATTAAATTGTATCTATGCTGATTATTTTATGAACACCTCTCAAGTTTGTAGGAATGGTCTGTGGAAATGCAAACCAGTGACCTTTTCCACTGCTTCAGGCTGTTTGCTCAAATACTTTATATTTTAAGCAAGAACCTCTTCTCTATCCACCTTATTCCTGGGGGCTCTAATGTATAAGTGATTATGGGTACAACTTCCTGTCAGACAGGAAGTAGCAGTAAGCATTGGTGAACCATGGTAGCGGAGCACAGACTGCGGTTTATTTGAAAGTAAAGTAGTCCCTCGCCAATTTGCGGTTCGTTTTTCGTAGACTTGCTCTATCGTGGTTTTTCAAACTAAGATTGGACATGACACACAACTGGTTGATCGATGGATGAGCCACACGATCAGAAATAAAAGAGGGACTACTGTAATTTGCATCCAGTTTAGCAGATATAACACTATTTTTGTTTTGTTTACATTTATAAAAAAAAAACAAAAAAAAAAACATGTAAGTTTGCTAAAATAGCCATGCTGAGTTCAGGTACCTGTTGTGTTCGTGGCTGCATGAACAAGCAGACCAAACTAAATCAGTGGCTACAACAACAGAGTTTTGATCACGGACCCAACACAAAGTTCCTGTGAAATGTGGTATAGTTTCCATCAGATGAGGAATTAAGAAGCATGTGGCTGAAAAATGTGAACTTGAAGAAACCACCTAAAACATTTTACTGTATGTGAGCTCATTTCACTTTGTTGACAAACGGTCGACGGAGGAAAACCTGCATCCTACTTTGTAGCTGGACTACAATAAACCACCAGAACAGACGCCGGATCCTCAGCAGGATTGAAAACAGTGAGACGAGAATATCAGGTCTGATTTTAAGTGTATGGAGGGCACAGCTTTATAGAATTTGTTGGTATTATGCTTTTCTCTGCAATTAACTCAAGTTCAGTGATGGAGGACTTTAAGGCTTTGGCTGGGCTCTAGGTCTGCTTTACGGTAAATAAGATTGCGTCCCTTAACAAAACGTGACCAACTGTGTAGATACTAATACACCTCAGAGCTTTCCAGGTTGTTCATTGCTTCACCGTCAGAAGAACCGAATCAACGAAGTAGCAAAATATGCTAGTAGATGTAATCTGCAGCCACTTCTTCAGGTCGTCCTCCATCCTTGTCCTCAGCAGGCAGAGGTATGATTATATTGTCCTGTATGAGCTCTGACAGGTGGTGTTCCTACATGTTTAAATTAAATCCACAATGCTCGGACAAACTAACTTAGCTTGTACAGTTAGCATATAAACAAAAGCCGGCTCTGGTCTGCACCGGAAGTCGTGCCCATAATTCATGCAAGGCAGCATGGAGGCTAAGGTTGATAAGAGCAGCAATAAGTGCCATTAGGTTTTAAAATCCACCTGCGAGATTCACAAGAAAACAGTAATCATAAAGCCTCAAAACTGCACATTTTATTTATTATAAAGTATTTTTTTCTTTTAATAAATATGCCTGTGGTCATGAGAGTTTGTGCTTACTTGTAAAGAACAGGGCGATCCTGTAAGGCCTCCATGGCCTGAGTTAACACAGGGCTAATATCACACGTCTCCTGAGTCAACCCTCGACATTCATCTATGAAGAGGACAAGAAAAAACAAGACAAGAAATGTATCTTTACTGAAGAAAAATACTCTTTTTAATAGCTTTCTAGTAATCGCTTATGTTATGCAAGGCTCATTGTTGCAAAATACATTTGACCACAAGCAAATCAAAGCACCATCCACATTTTTCAAATAGATTTTCCCCATTATCATTTTCCAAGAAGTTAAGACAGTTTGCTTACGCCATATTTAGAGCAACCGACAGACAGCGATGAAAACTGATAAACATGCTCCACTCCCGACGACCTCACAACACGCAGAGAATACAAAGCTGTCTTGTCAATTTAATTTAGTTTATTTATATAGCGCCAAGTCACAACAGAAGTCGTCTCAGGGCACTGAACAGAAACATTCATATATAAAAATAATCATTTAACATTATTTATCTGAGGAGCAGACTGCTTTGAGTTTAAATTCATCGCAGAACTCTCATCTTGAGCAAGCATGAAGGCGACGTGGAAAGGAAAAACTCCCTCATGAGGAAGAAACCTTTAGCAGAACCAGGCTCAGGACAAGCGGCCATCTGCTTGGACTGGCTGGGCTTGGTAGGAATAGATACACAATGGCAGGTCAAGAATCACGTTAAGCTAGAAATAGTATCAAATGAAAACTATTTAATTTTAGCAAATCATTTAAGGAAATGAGGTCAATTTGTCCTCCATTAGTCTAAGCCTAAAGCAGCATAACAAGCCAACGCTAACCATAGGATTTATCAAAAAGGAAAGTCTTAAGTCCAGTTTTAGAACTGGACAATGCGTCAGCCTAATGGACAGAAACTAGAAGTTGGTTCCACAAGAAAGGAGCCTGATAACTGAAAAATCTTCCTCCAATTCTGCTTTTAGAAACTCTAGGAACCACGGATAAGCCTGCAGTCTGAGAGTGAAGTGCTCTGTTAGGAAAATATGGAACAATAAGATCTCGAATAGAAGATGGAGCTAGGCTTAGAAGTAAGATTCTGAATTATGTTCTGGATTTGACAGGGAGCCAGTGGAGAGAAGCTAAAACTTGAGAGATATGATCTCTCCCACTAACTCCAGTTAAGACTCTGGCAGACTCTTGTCTTCTTCAAAAAATTTAGCATTCGCTCTGTAAATGAAAATTGCACATAACACAGATCCTACGAGGAGTGGTGGAGCAGAGGTTAGAGCAGGCGAGCCTGTAAGCAGGTTTGAATCCCCAAACAAGATAATGAAAACTTGAATGGAAAAAGTAAACTCTTCTTGTAAGGCACTTATTTCCCTTCCCGGGCACTTGTGTGGGCTGCGGTGGCTTGGTGATTGCAGCAAGAAGGGCATCTGACGTAAAACCGATGGCCAAGTCTCCGTATGAGTTTGTACACTGTGGAAGGGAGCAGCAAAAAAAAAAAAAAACACAGATCCTTTGGAAAACAAGCCGACATCTTTGATGAACAACATCTCCCGAACCTCAACTGCTAAATGAAATATGTGCTCTTTATTTTGTTACTGCACAGTTTTAAGTGGGTGGTTTTTGAAGTCTAAACTGTTTTGATTTCAAAATGTGGTTCAAATGTGGAAATTTTGGTTTTCTGGTATTCTTACAAAAAATAAATAAATAAAAGGCTGTAAAAAAAATTGACTTATGAGCAGAATTCTTCTTGCTTGAGAAGCAAAATGTATCATTGGGGGGACACACACACACACACAAAAAACATTACAAAAAGAAGTATCTACACGTTTCATCAAGATATTAATACAGTCTTGGGATGAATTTTTAATGCTTTAGTGATTACATTTGTGTGCAACACTCACTCTGAGCCCAGCGGTAGAGCTGCTCGTATGCCGTCTCTTGTAACACCGCCATCTGCTCCATGATCTCTAACCTAAAACAGAACACGCCGGGACCACACATCACATACTCAAGACCTGCAGCACAGTGTCAGACCCTGACAGGGCCAGGAACATAAAACCTACAAAGATGATGTGTTTTTACCAAAAATATAACAAATAAAGTAAATCTGTTACAGGAGATGGTGAATTTTCAACAGAGCAAAGAAACCGCTTGTGATGTGAAGCTCACCCTGCAGTTTGTTGGTTGGTTCTCAGGAGGACTTTCACATCCTCGTGTATGTGTTTAACTCGAGAGAGAACTTTGAAGAAATCCTGGAAAATGTAATGACATAAATATAAACATAATAAATATAACTGAGCATTATCACACTGATTTGAGAACAAATGTTTTGGGGTACAAACACGCCGTCTGTTACATAAAAAAAAAAAGCAGCATTGTCTTGAAACTGGCAGCAGAGGACACCATAATATATTTATAAATTATTATATTTCAATTTATATAACCTGACACTTGATGCAGACCCAAACTGTTGGTTCTTTTTGGGTTAGGTGCACATCATATGGGAAATGTAGGTAAGTCCAAGGAGATTCTGTTTTGAATATTCAGTGCAGTTTAAAGTGACCATGGTGCTGTTTGTTGAGCGTTTGGTCTCCAGATTAATATTGGATGCCATCTGTCTCCATGATGGGAAGATTTTGTAAATGGGTGGATAACGGTATAAAAGAGGCCATCATTAGCTACAGCCAGTCATCAAGTTATTACAAAGTTTTAAAAAATAACGCCAAGTTTCTTAACAAAAATTACGTGTGAAAGTTGAACTAATCTGCTGGATGGGCCCAATATAAAAAAAAGACTGCTGGAGTTTAAATAATCAACTTTGGGGTCTTGTTAGACTGGGGTTTGTGATGCTGAGCTTGTAAAATAAAGAAATTCTGCCCATTTCACTTACAAAATTATTACCTGACCAAACAAACAAACAAAAAAAATACATGAAATAACCGTCATGATTAATAGTTGTAAAAACATTATAAAAGTTGTGGCAAAGAAAACATCATTTAGCAGATTTCAACATTTTATGTTATGGAGATGTGAATGTAGATGATGGTGGAAAACAACCAGAGAACATGTGGGTATTTGATCCTACACCCTCTGCTCTGTGGCTGTCTGAGGATTGTTCTAATTTAATCTACGTGTCCAAACTATGAGAGTGATTACCTCAGTAATGGCCACGTCTCGAGTGCCTCGTAGTGTGGCCATTTCCTCATTAGTTAGCTGGAACTTGGCAAGGAAAGCTTGAGCAACCTGAGCTTTCACTTCGAGTCGCTGACTGAAGGGACAGAGAGAGGAGGGATGCTGTCATCGTTGCATTTTAACACATTCAAACATATCCACAAGAAAAAATATTTCCCTTTAAATTTAGACACGTTTGAAGATTGTCATTTTCATTTATTTAGTATTATTATTTGAGGTGACTTTGCTCCATAAGAGTTCAGTGCAAGACTTTCTGTGTAGACGTAAAAGGAAGTATCTACAAAACTAATTATTTTAGAACTTAAAAGTGAAAAAGGTGTTTTCAAAAAAGTAAAAGACAGTACAAATATTTAATGCTGATGTAAATCTGTTGCATGTTGAACAAGATTGTTTTGGTCACTGTATATAAGCAGCTGTGGTTGAGTGGTTAGAGCAGTCGTCCTCCAGTGGGAGAGTTGGGGGTTCGATTCCACCAGCAGTCACATGCTGAAGTGTCCCTGGGCAAGACACTGAACGCCTCATTGCCTCCGATGTGTGTCCCTTCAGTGTTTGAATGTGATAAAGCTCTGATTAGTCTTTGTACAGATCCAGTAGAGTGCTGTATGAATGAGTAAATGAGGACACAGATTGCAGTGTAAAGCACTTTGAGTATCTTGACAAGATAGAAAGGCGCTATATAAGTACAGTTCAATTACCATGAAATATATAAAAAGCAAATATGATTAGTCTTTTTTTTATTTTTATATCAAAAAGTATAACTTAAGTGGTAGTTTCTGTTAAAAGTATTGAAGAAATGTTTTGCCATTTAGAATATATCAAGGTGAAGATACAATAAACTCAGGCTTTTATCTACAGTTTCGTTTCTGTATATATATATATTCATTTTTTTTATTTTTTCTTGTCTGCTCCCTTCTTCAGGGGTTGTCACAGCGAACTAAGTCGGCTTGGCAATTATTTTTACGCCGGATGCACTTCCTGATGCTACCACAGTGTGGAGCAGAGAGCTGCTAGCCCAGAGGAGCAGATGGTGGAGGTTAAAGGCCTTGCTCAAGGGCCCAGAGTGGGGCAAATGAGGGTAGGGGCAGGTGTGGGTGCTTCACCTATCCCACCCACATTTTTGATGTTGTCAATACCGGATGTTGAACCGTCAATCTTCCGAACACAGGCCAACCATCTCTAACCTCTGTGCCACCACTCCTTTTTTTGTTTCTGTATATATTTTCTGTTTTTGTCACTGAATCGGATTCAGGTACTGTCTATTTATTTAAATATTTAACTAATTACATTAGGTTATTTTTGTTTTGGGAAAGACTGAAAAATTAAGCTATATATATATGTGTGTGTGTGTGTGTGTGTGTGTGTATACAAGTTTCGCTTCCCAACTCTTGTTCTTTATTTTTATTTTTTTATTCTGTTCTGATTTAGTTCAATCTGTGTTTTTGTATCACATATCTTATAGTTTAATAATAATAATAATAAAAAACAAGAGTAAAACTGAAACATGTTAGCTTTCGTTTAACAAAAGACTGCACATATAAACAAGATGTAATGCTCAAAGTTGTACAGCAGATGGTAGGCACGCTGAACAAATGCACCAACTTAGAGCCCTGAAACAGAGTCAGCAGGATGGGACAGACTGAAAACATGATGTGCAGCAGTGAGAAGATGGATACTAGAGGGACGCACAACAGACAAAAAGAAGGGAGCTGGATTCTGGCCAGGTTTTGCCACTGTCAACAATAGCAGACGATCACTATCATGTCAGGAAGTGCCTCAACACAAAAGCAGCTATGGCAACAGCCCCGGTCAAACGGGGAACTCGACACAGGACAACAGCAGGTCCTCCCTCTGTTCCCATCCCTCCATCCACACATCTCCTTCTTGGTGAAAGCAAGGCAGGAGCCGTAAATCACCAGGTTATTTTGGTGAAGCTGAATAACCTGGTGATTATGTGACCTTTGTTTTCCACATGACTGCAAAACGCTGCTCAACCAGCTGAAAGTAAAGGTCTGTAAAAGTGTTGCAGGAAGCTTTGATTCAGTAGTTCTCTTCACATCTCAGCAACCCTGGCACACATAAAGGAACTCAAGGTCTCCTTGCCCTTTGTATTTCCATATGTTGATTTTGTTTTCGCTTCAAAACACACAGAGAACAGATGAACAGATAAACATGGCTTAAATTCTCTAACAGCAGACCTAACAGAAGAAATGACACAATTAAAACTTCAGCAGTAACAACGTTCCCCACTTTACAACTACCGTATTTTCCGGCGTATAAGTCGCTATAAGTTGCATCAGTCAGGGAAAAAAGCATCACGAAGAGGAAAAAACGTATATAAGTCGCTTCGGCGTGTAAGTTGTATTTATTATGAGTCACCGCTGACCCACGGGGAGTGGGAGTGCACACAGGGGGACTCACTGTTGCTGTTCTTCAAAATGTAACAAGATTAACACGTAAAAACAATTGTTTGTTTGCTCGACTTTATAGCAAAGGTGTGTTTTAGTTTAAATTTTTCCTTAATCAATGCACTTTAATGGTCGAAACAGCTTCATTTCGCCTGGGTGCTGGTGTTCCTCCCCGCTCCAATGACGGAGCAGAGACTAAGGCTCCGGCCGCCAACTCAGGAGCCTTCGTCCACCTGCACCTCGCTGCTTCCCGGGGTCGCGGAACACGCGCTCCGCTGCTCCCTTCCTCCCGGCTCGGGTGGAGGAGGAAGGCTGTAGAGCTTGCAGCCGGAGCCGCGACTGATGGATGGATTTAATGATCAATGTTTGGTAGAGGGGTGCAAAGGGGGTAGCGGTACATGAACAACATATACGCCTACCGGTATTTGTCAAAAGCCTAGAGGGCCCTCTCGTGCCTCTAGCGGCTGAAAATCGTAATGTTTACTCAGGTTCACGTCAGTATGAATGAACATTTAAAGCGTCAATCAAAAATTGCGTCATAAATTTGGAGAAAAATATGTACAAGTCGCAGGACTGGCAAATCTACACAAAAAAAACTGTGACATTTGCAGGACAATAAGATAAACACAACAGCCCAGCATTATTGAAAACAGCCTTCCACGCTTTCATTTCGACCTTAAAAAACTGTTTAGCACAAGTCATCTAACATAACACCAGAAAACAATTAACACGTTTAACGTTACAGTTGTAGAATAATGTCCAACGTTCACACAATAAAACCAAAAACAAAGAGGAGAAAACTGGTAACTGAGAAGAAACGTACATTTTAGCAAAAATGAAATTAAAACAAGAAGAACCAAAATGCCCCATGACAATTACAGTGATCTACAGGGAAAGAACGAGATCGGCCATTGAGGCCATCCATTTAAATGAGGGATGAATAAATTAGTAAAACTGCTCCACGCTGTGCTCGACGAACATTAAAATAAAATCGGTAAAACCTTGTCAGAAGACGAATTGGAGCCTTTGGATCCAGACAAGCATTTTAATCATTAATAAACAGACTTTTGCAGAAAGTTTTTAGACATAAAAAAACAGTTTATAGTGTAAAGAATTGTGCGTAAATATGGTATATTTTCCAAGCTGTGAAAGGTTTTGGTAAACACTTAATTAAGTTACTATGTGAAGTCAAGCACGACCTGACGAGCTTCAGTTCAAAGCAGCGCTTGTTCTCAGCTTATTCATTTTCTGTGCATGTATTAATTTAACTTCACATACTTGGGTACGTCGGGGGGGAAATGCATTTCTTTACACATCAAATTTATAGCAGATTCGTTTGAAGAAAAAAGGAAGTGTCTCTAGTTTCATGCAGAGGCAGATGAATTTGTTGGCACTCTTACAGCTCGTTGAAACAATGCTTTGTTTCTCAAGAAAAGTATTTTAGTTGAAAGCAAAGGTCTAATGTATGTATGTATACGTATGTATTCATGTACCGGTATGTCTTTAGTCTGTGATAGAGTAAACTAAACAAAGTACTGTTAATTTTGCAATAGTTGGAACAGATTATTAAAGAGACTATTATTTGTTGCTTTATAGTCATGTTTCAAACCACGTGTTTGACCTTCAGTATCGCAAGTGATGTTGAGCTTTCCACCAGCCATTCAACCTATTTAAAGGGAATGAACAGCCACTGTGTAGTTTAGTCTTCTTGCGTGTACTAATATAGAGCAGAGAAAGCAACAGAAACAACTGTCTGAAGAGCTCAAAAAACATTATAGAGATCCATGTTTATGGTAAAGGCTACAAGAGCATCTCCAAAAAGCTTCATGTTCCTCTGACTGCAGCTACTAAGGATATTAAATGGGACTGTAGCCAAACCTCCAGGATGGGGACACAAGAAGAAATGTAACCCCAGGCAGATCAGATGGAGGGTGCAGATAGTGGGGAAAAAGAGAAACAAACTATCCAGAACTATTCAAGTTGAACTCCAAGGTCAAGGTACGCCACTTTCTGATCACATCCGTTGCACTTTGACCATAATGGGCTTCATAGAAGAAGGTCAGGGAGGGCTCCACGATTCACAGAAACGCACAACAACTGCCTGACAGGAGTTTGCTAAAATGCATGTTGAGAAATCCCAAATGATGAGACAAAACTGGAACTTTTCAGCTGCATTCACATTAGTTGTGTTATGGAAGGGTGCCAACAAATATACCCACGTCTGTGCAAGCCAAGAGTGGCCAGTTTCTTCAGGAAGTAAATCATGACAAGAGACTTTACAGAGCGCAAGACGATGACACTAAGGGAGTTCCCTCTGAGAAACAAGCAAGGACATGGAAACGGTAGAACAGGAATGATTCTGTGCAACTGTCAGGACATGACGCATTTCTCTCCAGGATGAAAGAACCGAATACCACAGAGAGGAAAAGGCACAATGTAAAGTTCATGGAGTTTATGTGACAGTGGGTTGGAAGAAAGGAGGTAAACAAGCTTATTAGTCCAATGCGTATTTGAATCAAAGTAGCAGGACAGAAAGAAAACAAGTCTTCAGATTTAGTTTGTTCAAACGCAGAACTTGTTCACGCAACCGAACAAATCCCAAACAGTCAAAGAAACTTAATTAGCTGACACGGCTAAACTGATGAGAGTCTAATCACATGGTTATTACATTTGCCCACCACTACAGCATACTGAAGAAATGGTGAACTGTTTACAGTAACGAGGGAATTTCCAATCAGTTCGGAGGACGCAAACCATGTAGGTGGATTATTCATTAGAATCTGTTGGGAGGCATTCCAAAGAATTGCATGGAAATCTGGCACTCACAAAGCTGTTAGTTAGCCATGCACCAGTGATCAAAGAGCGCATAGTTACATCAGAAAGCACACAAAAGAATATCTTGTTGCCGTATTCTCATTAGCATCAAGCTGGGTTTTGATGATCCTCAAGTGTCATATTACACAGGTTGTATTCACACTCATTGTTCTCTCCGGGGCCTCTGCCCTCTTTATTTATTAATGAACTGTACACGAGTCGTGCTGAGAGCACTTTGATTTCTTCAGGAAAATGGGCTCTGTAACACAAAAAGCTTAATGTCTGATTATTCACCAGTTCCTGCAGGGATCGATGCGAGTTGCCAAGAACGTACATTTAGATAAATGTTAGTTGATATAAGCAAATTTATTTTTATTGTACTTAGGCATAAAGCCAGCTAGACTCAGTGGAGATGCACAAACAGCTCAGTATTACTTGGAGAATGAGTCCAATGATCTGTCACCTCCAAGTCTGCCTGCCAATGAGGTCACATTGTCAACAGAAACATCTGTCCGTGAGACGTCTCAGTTATCGCCACGTGATGACACGCTACACTAATGCAAAGATTACACAGAGCACAGCAGGTGAGCAGAATTACATTTCATTATGGAGCAACACGCAACATCTATTTAGTGCTCTTGATGACAGCATCTTTGAATGAGACCAGCCCAACACAAAGAAGCCTTGTGTCTGAAAGCCAGTAGAAAAACACAGCTCAGTGGCTCATTCTTTACCTTTACCTCTGCAAACTGAAAGCTATCTGCAGCTTCATTCTGCTTCATTAGAGTTGACAAATGACACTGTGACACAGGCAGATAAGACAGCAAACAACTGAGAACAGTCCTCTGCCAGTTACAAACCAGGAGCATCAACAGAGCCTTGAAAACAACTGCTCTACCATCAGAGCTGCCCTGAATGGGATTCTAGGAGATACTGTATCGCACAGCTGCCATGTAAGCATTATTGAGGTTATCCTGATGCTATGCAAGTAGATAATGAAAGGATATCCGGCTCGAAGGACCAAAAATGTTGGATAAAATAATTATCCTATCAACTCATTACTCAAATAAGCCACTCTGAGGATCATACGAGAAGATCTTTCAACCCATTTATGTACTTTCGTGGGGGCAGAATTGAAAACAGGCTTACACGGATGTTACATCGAAGCTCCAGTTGCAAAGTCTGCACACAGACAGTATAAAGAAGTGTCTATTTATAATGCTTATCAGACAGAGGCGAGGTCAAAACAACCTCTGCTTTCCAGCTTAGAGGCCTCGGAGGCTCCATGCTCCTGCAGGCTCCTCTCTGTTTAGACAAAACAACTCTTACCCACATGCATGGTTCTACATTAATTTAACATTAGTAAGTGATAACATCCATGAACTTTACCTAAATTTCACTGACATATATATCTAACAAGTTTAAGTCAGGTCCTCTGGACAGATTTTTCTTT